GATGGTAAAATCATCTGCTCAAATTGAACCCTTTTAAGTTTCAAAAGGTAACGAAATATGCTTTATTTTATTCTTCTGTAATTCTTCTTAAAATATCGAGAGTTTTTTGCTATTGCAGCAGTTAGAGATCCATCCGTGCTGGATATATTGGTCCGGGTCGCTAAAGACCCGAATATGTAATAATGATTGGCGAAACATTCATGCATTTAAGGGTTAAATCTTTAGTTCACATACTAGTATTAGTTTTCAAATTACATATATTCACGTATTGGAAAGGAAATGGATATCTTGTCAGAAGTATTAGGATATGATGCCTGCCGCAACCTTACTGCAAAGTTGTTGTTAAAAAGTCAGTCGTGCAAACAATTACCAATATTTAGCCATTAACCATTTTTCTGAACATAATTTTATATGGACAGAAAAATCATGCTTTGAATCAAGATTGTGACATTGTTAATAACCCATCATCTTTGCAACAGGCTTGCGAGTGCGAATCAAGCAATATCTTCTCTTTTAGATATTGGAAAATTGGAAAACACAGCATGAAAGGATCCTGGCGAGATCAAACATGTATTTTGATGAAGGAAAAGAACATTGGGTCACATAAGAGGTGCAACCTCAGCTTTGCTCATATTTCCATTCATTCTATTACTAACCTGTAATACAGGCGCATTCTCCTCCCAAACTGACACAGTATATACTTATAAATAAACATTAGAATGAACTTTACACCCCTGACCCCTGATATTTTGCATGCATTATGTCTGGGATAAATGAAAATGTCAGTGGCTCCTATACTGGAGATATATGAACAGTAATATGTAGAGTTAATGGGTTTGAGAAGAACCTTTGGCACTGCATACCTGGGTTAATGGTGTTGTGCTTCCTGTGTGTACAGTTCGCTAAATGGACATCCCTTAAGTCAGCAAATAACATAAATGAGGTGCTATTCATTTGATACAGAATATATGCCTTGTGGGAAGATGATGGAAAATAACCACTGAAAGTACTATAGTGACAAACAAAAAGGCATTGATACGCTTTCTGACAGTTTTATACCTTGACAAGCTTGAACTGACTCCCAGTGAAAGGTCTTTTATCAGTAAAACTGCATATAAAAAGGCAAAATGGCCTGTCAAGAATTGAGAAATATTTGACATCCTGATTAAACACTTTTTACATAACATTCTTCATTTTTTAGTTTCTTGCAGCATATCCTAAAAACCTTACATTGCTCAAAAAATTAAAAGCTAAAAAATTAGCCTCATCAGGACTGGAGAATTATCATGTCATGCCCGTCACAGAAATAAATTCAAGTCTGATAAATTCTGTGGAGGAATTACTTCTCAGTTCAAGTTGCCCTTGTAGCATTATTGATGGTGTTGTTAGATCGGCTCATTAGATATGTCTTTTACTATTCATCTTCCAATTACATGTGTGGTGCTTGTTGACTTCAAAGTGATTTCTTATGGTGTACCACCATCAAAGATGTTCAGGAAGAAGACAAAACAGAGAGATTAAAAATGGCTTTTAATGGGTCTGGTAGCACAGACAAAGATCAGATGTGATCCCTTTAGAGTTTAAAATGCTCAAGCCTCCAACCAATATCTAGTACTTAAAATACAAACTGATCAATGAAGAGTGATTTGAAACATTATAACATTATGTGACTATGCATCATCTTTGATGCAGAAAATAAAGACTGGTTGTGTAATCCGTGTCTTTTGTGCTGCTTGTACTTCTTGCTGAATTAACTTGAATCACAGTCCTTATAAAAAAGATTAAAACTATCATTTGCATGATATCGGATTTCCTTTGCAGTCCTGGCTTTTTCCTGTATTAAAAGTTTAAATAGAAGAACCTGTTTAGAACCCAACTACTTTATCAAACTATAATTACAAAAAGTAGAAATGCAAATGAGTTTCTTGGATTTCTTAATGTTACACTGTCAGATATGCAAAATAAATCTATTGTATCTCTTGCTCTGGCTACTGTGTATAGACCATCAGGGCCATATACAGATTTCCTAAAATAATTTGCAGATTTCCTCTCAGACCTATTGGTTACTGTTGATAAAGCGCTAATTGTCGGAGATTTTAACATTCACGTTGATAATACAAATGATGCATTAGGACTTGCGTTTACTGACCTAATAAACTCTTTTGGAGTCAAGCAAAACGTCACCGGGCCCACTCATCGTTTTAATCATACGCTAGATTTAATGAACATGACCATTTCCTTGTATCGTGCATGCTGCATATTACTGATATTAACTACACTGTACAAAATTATAAACGCAACACTTTTGTTTTTGCCCCCATTTTTCATGAGCTGAACTCAAAGATCTAAGACTTTTTCTATGTACACAAAAGGCCTATTTCTCTCAAATATTGTTCACAAATCTGTTTAAATCTGTGTTAGTGAGCACTTCTCCTTTGCCGAGATAATCCATCCACCTCACAGGTGTGGCATATCAAGATGCTGATTAGACAGCATGATTATTGCACAGGTGTGCCTTAGGCTGGCCACAATAAAAGGCCACTCTAAAATGTGCAGTTTTATCACACAGCACAATGCCACAGATGTCGCAAGTTTTGAGGGAGCGTGCAATTGGCATGCTGACTGCAGGAATGTCCACCAGAGCTGTTGCCCGTGAATTGAATGTTCATTTCTCTACCATAAGCCGTCTCCAAAGGCGTTTCAGAGAATTTGGCAGTACATCCAACCGGCCTCACAACCGCAGACCACGTGTAACCACACCAGCCCAGGACCTCCACATCCAGCATCTTCACCTCCAAGATCGTCTGAGACCAGCCACCCGGACAGCTGCTGCAACAATCGGTTTGCATAACCAAAGAATTTCTGCACAAACTGTCAGAAACCGTCTCAGGGAAGCTCATCTGCATGCTCGTCGTCCTCATTGGGGTCTCGACCTGACTGCAGTTCGTCGTCGTAACCGACTTGAGTGGGCAAATGCTCACATTCGATGGCGTCTGGCACTTTGGAGAGGTGTTCTCTTCACGGATGAATCCCGGTTTTCACTGTACAGGGCAGATGGCAGACAGCGTGTATGGCGTTGTGTGGGTGAGCGGTTTGCTGATGTCAACGTTGTGGATCGAGTGGCCCATGGTGGCGGTGGGGTTATGGTATGGGCAGGCGTATGTTATGGACAACGAACACAGGTGCATTTTATTGATGGCATTTTGAATGCACAGAGATACCGTGACGTGATCCTGAGGCCCATTGTTGTGCCATTCATCCACGACCATCACCTCATGTTGCAGCATGATAATGCACGGCCCCATGTTGCAAGGATCTGTACACAATTCCTGGAAGCTGAAAACATCCCAGTTCTTGCATGGCCAGCATACTCACTGGACATGTCACCCATTGAGCATGTTTGGGATGCTCTGGATCGGCGTATACGACAGCGTGTTCCAGTTCCTGCCAATATCCAGCAACTTCGCACAGCCATTGAAGAGGAGTGGACCAACATTCCACAGGCCACAATCAACAGCCTGATCAACTCTATGCGAAGGAGATGTGTTGTACTGCGTGAGGCAAATGGTGGTCACACCCAGATACTGACTGGTTTTCGGACCCCCCCAATACAGTAAAACTGCACATTTTAGGGTGGCCTTTTATTGTGGTCAGCCTAAGGCACACCTGTGCAATAATCATGCTGTCTAATCAGCATCTTGCTATGCCACACCTGTGAGGTGGATGGATTATCTCGGCAAAGGAGAAGTGCTCATTAACACAGATTTAGACAGATTTGTGAACAATATTTGAGAGAAATAGGCCTTTTGTGTACATAGAAAAAGTCTTAGACCTTTGAGTTCAGCTCATGAAAAATGGGGGCAAAAACAAAAGTGTTGCGTTTATAATTTTGTTCAGTGAATATATATATATTTATTTATATAAAATAGTATAGTTTTAATACAGCAGTCATAACATCACAACACAAACAACACAAAATACTTATCAGCTTATCAGTATCTTGCCTCAGAATTTAATATTGGTGCATAGGAGTTTCATGAGTTTCATTTTTGTGAAATCTTGCTGCAAAATACACCACAATCCTAGAAACACCTACTTTTGTGTTTGGACTCCATTGAAAACTCACCCAAATGCGCAACACGGGCTAGCCGGGGGTCAAAGCCCACCTGCTGCACTTTATCTGTCCTGGCAAGAAAGAAATTGATGACTCCATCAGTGACAACACAGTGAGGAAAGCCCTGGATGATGTGATGGAAGCCTCTATGCATGTGCAGACAGTCCCCGTCTTCCTCTCCAGCTTCAATTGAGATTGTCTGCCTGTAGGTGGCAGTGTAGCCTGTAGCTTCACGCACTGCTCCTCCAACCTAAACACACACAGCAGCCGAACAATGCAGGGATGATAAACTGAACTGGAGGAAACTCTTTAGTACAGAGTATCTCTTCCTATTAAAAAAAACACCTTTAAGCGATTTTATTTTTTTTTTTCTCTTCATAAAAGCAGATGTGCTTGTCTCCTTATCTAAGGCATGACTCCAGCTGTATGACTGTGCACACAGAAGACCCGTTCACTGCAAAGGTCACATAGCTGATCCATTCCAGAGCAATAATCTGCCCTAGATCTGCTGCTGCCTAAAGCAAAGTGAAATGCAAACTGTGTTTATTGTACTCTTTCCTTAGCCATATTTTGTGATTCAAACAGATTCCTACTATATTAACCTTTAGGCCCTATGTCCACCAAAGCGTTTTTAGCCAGACGCTCTGCTGAAAACGCCCAGCTGTGAGCCCTTGTGAGCGCCTCTGCAGCGCAACGTTTTTTTCATTTGAGACGCTTTGGTTGCAATGATACTGGATATCCTGGATATCTGCAGAAGTAATGTGGCAGACACATTGTGAATGAAATACTGCAAGCAATATTTTTCATATCAATATTTGTAATAGTCCGGGAATCCCATTTGCTTAAGACATGAATACTCAGAGACAAGCAATATTAACGTCTCCTCCATTGTTGTTAGTACAAGCATGTGACAGTTGGTCGGAGTGGTATTTGCCCCGCCCCTCCTCCACTGTGATTGGACATCTGACTAAAATGTGACAGTGATGAGCACTGCGTTTTATCCAAAGTTGAACATTCTTCAACTCTCTGCGCTGAGAAAAAAACGCCCGAGCGTTCAGCGTGAAAAAGATGCTCAGCGCTTGGCACGTTCCTGCCGTTTTAAAAAATGCGGCGCTCCCATTGAAAACAACTGAAAATATACTCCAGCCTCGGGAAGAAGACTGGCCATTCAAAACTCTTCCTTTGTAAGCAGGGTACTAAAAACGGAACAAAATTCAAACAAACACGTGTTGTTCTAAAAAATATCTTCCACTTTTGGACCATTTTGACATTTACAGACTTGGACAATTGTTTCCTCTGTTTGAATTCCACACCAATCAGTGCCAGAGACAGAGGCCGCATTTACACTGCATGGTTCAAGTGACCCAATTCGTATTTTTTCCTCCCATGTGGCACAGATCGGATATGGCCCACGAACATGTAAGCAGGAAAAAAAGCGCATCGACTCCGATATTCTCAGATCGTTTCAGGCCTCATTCATATGTGGAAATAAATCTGATATGAATCGGATACGTGCAGTTGCGCCTGCCGTGTAAGTGGACAGATCGGATATTCCCCTGTTAATGCGAGTTGGATGTCAAATGGTTTTGAAACATCTCGCGGTACAGATATATCTATTACAAATGAAACATCTCTAGTTGACTAGCAGAGTATTAATTTCGTTCGTTTGTGTTAAATAAGAGGCGATCTGGCACTGAAATGTGTTGCTTTTAAAATCATGCTGAGTGCTCGGACGAGTGCTTCAATCTATTGCTAACTGTTGTGGAGGCTCTTTATACTATTTGGTAGAATAACAAAATCAATTTCTTTACAGTCCACTAGATGGTGCTGTTGAGTTTTTTCTAAAATTCTTTAATGCACGGCAAGCCGTTGATTATCCCGCTTATTCCATGGTCATTTGCCAGTATTGACAACTTAAAGCTGTTTATGATGTTAGCAGCGCAATATTTAACCGGAAGGGTAAAAATGAAGGTTATTTTCATCAGTTACGGCTCGTTAGCTCTAGCTTTCTGCCTTTCAAATCAGATACAGAGATGAAATAGTGCGGTAAGACCACGTTTATTCGAATGAATTATAGTATTTATTTAAATGAATTAACGATCGAGAGAGAGAGATGACAGTTGTGTGTGTGAATTACCTGCGTCTGTGCGTCTCTCTTTACAAACTATGAAGCTGTTTAGTTACTTCGATTTTACCTCGTTGCTGAGGAAGATAATAAAGCAATCTAGTATCTATGTTATTTTATTAATAAAAGTCGCGGGGCAGCACTGACAATAAGTTTGTGTGCGCGCAGTGCGATCTGCAATCTCCGACCTCTCTCCCTCTCACTGTGTTTATTAAATATCCATATTTCAAACGTAATTAACACGTTTTTTCTGACTTCCGCTGACTGTTGTACATGGAAGCCGTCCAGGCGGATGATGTAGGACGTCAGCGTTGCGTGATTAGTGACAAGTGCAGAGAGAGAACAAAACAAAACGCTGGTCACGAATTAGAAGCACAAAACGAGGATTTGTAAAGAAAAATTTCGGAGGATTTCGATATAAGCCAAGAGGAAACTGGTTTTCCTTTGTTAAAGTAAGGAAACTTTGCTTGCTTTGCTCCTGCATTGCTCAGAGGCGCACGCACAACGCCTACGTCCTACGTCATCCGTCTGCATGTCTTCCGCGTACCACAGTCAGCGGAAGTGAGAAAAAAAATGTTTATTACATTTGAAATATGGATATTTATCTTACAAAAACGCATGGATTCGCTACAGGAGGCCTTTATTCACCCCCCGGAGCAGTGTGAGGGACGTTTTATTATGGATGTGCGCACTTTATTTCACATCTTCTGAACTGTTGACAACCGAACACCCGCTTA